TCACCAAACGCCGCAGGCGATAGCCGATTAAACACGATCTATTTTTTAAATATAATTTACACAATCATTTACTAAGCATTTAAAGGGAGCAAAAATATATGTTAAATACCATCTCATCAATCCTATTAACGAATTCTGGAGGGAAATGTCTTCTCACGACATCAAGGACCGCTCTATTAGTTAATTCGCTAACTTTGCCGCCTGTATCATTTATTTCCGCTGATGATGCTAGTATGTCGGCCCCAAGATTGCTTGTCATTATTATTATTGTATTTCGGAAATCGATCTATATTTTTCAGTAAAATATTGTGTAAAGAACAGTTCTGTTCGTGGATGTTCTTTTTGTTCGGAAATCTACCTTTCGACCTTGTGAATCAGTAATATAGCCATCATCTAATATTTGTAATAGCAAATTTGCTACATCTGCTCGATTAAAATAAAATGAGCAAGTAAAACTGTGAGCTTTATTCTTAAAGTCTTCAGTTTTAAATTCGAAGTGATTTTCTTAACCTCTATGGGCCTTTTCCATTTCGTCCAACAATACCACGGAAAATGGTTTTCTTCTAACCGCTTCTGTCAACTCTCCACCTACAAGAATAATGATGAAGCGTATATTAAAAATTTAAAAGGTGAAACATAAAGCGAGCGCGGATGTGTTCACCTTCTTCATATCCGATATATCCAGGCGGGGCCCCCACCAATCTCGATACTGCAAATCTATTGTCATAAAAGATAAGGATCATTCGGTCAAACTTAAGCCAACGAAATCAGAATTGTCAATATCCTACTTTTCCATGTATTCACTCATATCAACTCTAATAATAGCATGCTCAGTATCAAATAAAAATTCAGCTATCGTCTTGGACAATTCGGTTTTTCCAACGCCTGAAATGTTAATATAATTTAGTGGTTAAAATAAATAATTACCGAAAAATCAGATTATTGACAATGGAGTACCCGTTGGACCAAGAAACAAGAAACTAGCTATTGGCCTCGAGGGATTTTGCAATCCAGCTCTACTCATCCTAACGGCTTCTGATACCGCCTTAATCGCTTCTTTCTGACCAACCACTCTTTCCGATAACTTTTCTTCCATGTGAATCAATCGATCCCGCTCGCTTCTCAATAGATTATGTATGGGAATTCCGGTCATCCTCGACACTACAGCTCCAATGTCGTCGGCTGTGACATACTCATGAATCAACGATTCATTTGAAGTTTCGTCACTCTCTTTTGGTAGTTTCTTCTCTAATTCAGGAATTACCCCATATCTCAATTCACTTGCCCTACTAAGATCTCCCTTTCGTTGCGCGGATTCCAATTCTATTCTCGCCTGCTCTAATTGTGATTTTATCTTTTTAATTCCTTCTAACTTCGCTCTTTCTGCTTGCCATATATCAACAAGCTGATCGTATTCCTTTTGTTTCTCTTTCAACTCTTTCTGTAATTTCTCTCGCCGTTCTATTGACGCCGGTAATCTACTTAAGCCGGCTTTGGCAAGGGGTACCCTGAGATGTTGTGGTGCGACAACAATCGACGAGTACCGCAGGAACATTGAGAAGGATCCCGCATTAGCGCGAAGGTTTCAGTCAGTCATGGTGATGGAGCCGACTCCAGAAGATACAATATCAATTTTGCGTGGGTTGAAAGAAAAATACGAAGTACATCACGGTGTCAGGATTACCGACTCTGCGATTGTAGCCGCAGCTACCTATTCGTATAGGTATATTACTGATAGATTTCTTCCTGACAAAGCGATTGATCTGATACTCTCTGGAACTTCTCCGTTAATGATCCTTTGTGCCAATCCTTCTACGATCGCTGTCTTTCCCACACCGGCTTCACCTATTATAACTGGATTATTTTTTGTTCTTCGTGCTAGCCTGAACATCGCGATTTATTGCAGAAAAAAGAATTAATTCCATCATAAATGAGTAACATTCACCACAAATATTTAGAAATGTGATATTACGTACACTACAAAAGAAGAAATATGAATATAAAAAATTTTATACGCTCTACATTGATCACATTGAAAAACTTGTCACACTCGTTCGAAATACCTTGAATGGTACGTCTTATCTCTTCTTCGCGTCCAATTACAGGGTCCAACTTCCCCTCCATCGCCAACTTTGTCAGGTCATACCCAAATTCCTCGAGCACCGAACCTTTTTGCGCGATTTGTGGAGCTATAACATTAGTTCCATATTTTTAAATAGTTGATTAAAAATTAGCATTGACATTCAAAGAAAATTAGAAATGAACCACAAGGAAAATTTAACACGGCTAATCAAAAGAATTCGAACCTTTTGGAATGTTCACATAATACCTTTTTCCAACGCCCGAGAAACTTTTATTCCTACCAATATGACCATCAAAATTGACCTTTAGGTTCCGAGCAGACCATTGGCAAAGGTATCTCGTACTGGGACGTATCTTTATTGCCCCTAGACATAACATATTGTCATGAAATTTCTTTTTTTTTTTTGATAATTGATTACACGCGACTTAGTATATACACATGCGTCAATCTAATTGGTTAAAATTTATACCGCATGAATTTTATTACAGTTGACTCTGGATAAAAGAGAAAGAAATTGATCGTATAATGTAACATGCAATTACTATATCTAATTTACAATTTTCAACCTTCTAATTGAATCTATAATAATGTATATCATGCATAAGAATTTCTTTGACTTGTCAATTTTCCATGGCAATTAATGGTGAATCGTTTACGTCGGAATCACGTTTTTGTTCGCTGACGCAGTTTTGTATGGGTTGGCATCCCTTGTTGTACACTTCGTGTAATTAAAAGAAATCAGCACGCGCTCTGAAAAGAATTTTGTGGTTTGAATAAAAAAAGCCAGAACTTACAAACATCGTCGGGACTCATTGTGGTTACATGATTTTCGTCGACGATTCCGATAGACTTTAGTGGATAAGAGAGCACAATGGAGACAAGGATGGACAATAATAAAAGGATTCGTAGTGCCATTTTACTCAAGTTTTCGAAAAAACGAAACTATTCTTTAGGGGTATATCAACACCAAAGTCAAAGAACTCTATTATGCCTGAAGAGTGTGAAATATTACGGTGTATATATAGCTGTTTTTGACAACTTTAGCTTTGCTTATCACGCATCTTTTCGCAAAGGTTTTATGAGACGCCTTCCGTAATTGGTTCCCGCTGTGTAAGAATAAATTGTGTACGCTACTAGTGACGAAGGATATTTCTTCCAGCTTTCTGGGCTGCCAAATGACGATACATAATCGGCAAGTCAAATGATTCGGTCACATTTACTTCTACATTCACTTCCCCACGAAAATCAATACGGAACAATTTCTGGACTGCATGATTAAAAATGGTAAAACATATTTATGATTGGATGATTAATTGAGATGCAGGCGATTTAGTTTCTCATTTGAGTTGTTGTTAATGACTTTATTTTATGATGAAATAATTCCTAATAAGGAACCAATCCCTTTCCGCAAAATTTACAAATGTAAACAAATATTTGTATAAAAAATTTTTAAATTAAATATAATAAATATTACTTTTTCTATATTTGTTGAAAGTTTTTAACTTTTTGATTAATAAAATATTATTATTTTTAAAACAACTTGAAAAGTATTTTTAAAAGTTGCTTTTATATATATATTTTTTTTGTTTATAAATTTTTTTAATTAAAATTTAACTTTTATTTATCAAGTGATATTTTTATTATCAATAATAAAAAATTTTTTTGATTATAGAGTATTTGAAAAATTTTTTATCTTTAAATATTTCTAAAGATTTTCTATAATAGAAAACTATTTTTTTTTCATATTAGTTTTTTTTATCTTTTTAAAATTCTTATTTTTTAATTTTTTAAATAATTTTACTTAATTTAATTTTAAATTTTTAAATAGTATAATTATTATTTTTTTTAATACAATATTCGTAATCAAGTTAAATCTTAATTTATTAATAAATTGAAAACATAAGTATATTTTTACTCTAGTAATATAATATTTATTATAGTTAAACATTTCTATCAAATCAAACAAACTGATAATAAATAATAATAATCTTTAAGTTTGACTTTAAAAACAATATTTTGTTCTATAGTATACTAGTTAAAATTATATATTTCAATAGTTAAATTATTGCTAAATTTAATTAAATTTAATAATAAAAATATTGTCAACTTCTTTTTAATTGAAGTTACTTGGTATATTATTATTTTAGCAATAAAGTAGCAATAAAAAATTTAGCAATTAAAAATTCAACAATAAAAAAATTCAACAATAATAAATTTATTAATTAAAAGTTTAACAATAAATCATCAATAAATTCATTAGCAATTCATCAAATAATTTAGTAAAAATTTATTAACAATTCAATAAATGTTTGTTATAAAATTAATTATTAGTAATTCAATAAAAATTTAACATTAAGACCTGTGGATCAATAGTACAGTGATAGTACTTCCAGGTCTCAATTACAAGATCTGAAGTTCAATACCACTTAAGGACCAAAAATCGAAATTATCCTTCTGATCAGATTTATCAGATTTCTTGTGAAAGTCATACTCAATTATCTGAAACCAGTTTAAAACAGGTTAAATTGCACAAAGATGGGATTTCTGACCTTTCATCGATCAGGGACTGAAACTTAAGGTCGTACTACCAGAAGTATTGCACGAAGTAAGGTTTCTAATCTAACTTTACATATAAAGTTCCCAGCCTACTCTGTCCTGATAACCTCCAGAACCCCTGCTCTTCTAGCTCAGGATATTCCAATCTGGTACTCCGCTTAATTGAAAATCAGTTAATAGGGACTGATCTGATGCCACAAGTGATAACAAAGAAGGCAACATGCCCCCTTCTGAGGTCTGAGCGAATAATATCTGGAAATATTGGAGGGTATGTACATCCCATCAGGTATATCTAACAGGTCTAGCTTAGTGAATTTTAATACAAAAATAGTCATATAAGCCCCATATTAATTAGCCTAAGCATCGTCATTTATGACTGTGTATTAATTATCTGATCACTAGCTAGATATACCCACTCTTGAAGTGGTATTAGATCTAACTAGGATTGCCACGATAGGTTAACATTAATCTGCATATGTAGAGATGTTTGATATAATGATAGTGGAATTAAATTATCAAATAAAGTTTTGTATCTAATACCAGTTGCGGTTTAAACAAAAAAATAAAAAATAAAAATTTAAATTTATTAATAATTTATTAAAAATTCATTAATAGTTCATTAATAATTTATTAATTATTTATCAAAACTATTTATTAAAAATTTGTTAACTATTCATTAAAAAATTGATAATTATTTATCAAAACTATTTATTAAAAGTTTATTAACCATTTATTAAAAATTTGATAACTATTTATCTATTATTTTAAAAAAAATTAATAAAACTTATAAAAAAAATTATTTATATTATAAATTATTTGATATTTTTTTTTTTTTTAATTAGTTATACTAATTGAACTTTATTAATTGGAATTTTTTGGAAGTACAGATTAGATTACAAGAAGTTATACTTATAACTTATAACTATTTTATCTACAGTTGCTTCCAAAAGTTTGAGTCCACTTACTATGTTTTTATTATAAATTTCAACTTTGACAATTTTTAAAT